CATATAAAAATATATAATATTGAAAATTACTTTCACAGAAGTGTTGAAATATAAATAGAAACAAATTATAGATATAGTGAATAGAAAGTCTACTAAACTTTTATTGAAGTAAACAGAGCAATTTTTTTTCGAATCAATAAACATATGAAATAAATTTTATCTTGAACATCATAGCTGTTATTAAGTCTATATAGAATCATAGTTTCATATTTTCGGTCTTAGAAATATTCATTATAGATATTATTTATCAACGAAAAACTCGAGAACAACAACTAAAGATGAATATAATATGATATTGCTTTTTCTTAATGTATGATCTCTAAAGAACTCTGGTAATAAAAGGATGGTCGAAAAGTTTTCGGACAAATGTCTGTTCATTTTTGATCAACTAGAAAGTATTTTCGACAAGTCAAAATCAGAATTTTATACTCTTTTCGAATATGGACTCAAAAATTTTGTGTAAGTTTTTCTTCGAGAAGGGAGACCAGAATTTCGGCCCGCGGAATTTTCGACCCGGACTTTCGGCCCGGTCCGAAATTCCAGTGATTTTTCGGGCCGGGCCGAAAGTCCACAAAGAATTTCGGCCCATGACCACATTGACCCTAAAATAAAAAACCTAATTTTTTAAAATTAGTTGCTGGACATCGTAGTGCTGAGCAGGACGTCATAGTGCTCAGCTATATGACGTAATGCTGGGCAGAACGTCATAGTGCTCAGAGATGTGACGTAATGCTGAGCAGAACGCCATAGTGCTCAGCGATATGACGTAGCGCTGAGCAGAACGTCATAGTGCTGAGCGGTATGGCGTAGGTGTGGGGTAGTGTGGGTGTTGAAGGAAGAGACATCCACACCTCATACCCTCTGCTCAGCACTACATCATACTACTCAGCACTATGCCATACCCCTCAGCCCTATGGCGCTTGCTCAGCACCACGCCATACCGCTCAGCACTATGACATCTTGCTCAGCACTACGACATACTGCTCAGCATTACACCATACTGCTCAGCGCTACGACATATCGCTGAGCACTATGACGTCCTGCTCAGTACTACGACATATCGCTGATTACTATGACGTCTTGCTCAGCACTACGTTGTCTAGCAACTAATTTTGAACAATTAGGTTTTTTATTCTAGGGTCAATGAGGTCATGCCCCGAAAGTCCTCCAGGAATTTCGGCCCGGTCCGAAAAATCACCGGAATTTCGGACTCGGCCGAAAGTCTGGGTCGAAATTCATGGAACCCGTTCGAGAATAGTGAAATAATCATTGATAAGCTCAAAAAACTTCGTTTGAACAGAGTTTGTTGACTGAAGTTTTCGGTGAAGATATGAATTCATTTTGACCTGCTGGACAGCATTTTGAATGAGTCAAAAACTGTAGGTGATGACCGAAATTTTGTACTGTCTTTGAATACGGGCTTAGAAATGTTGTATCTATTTTTGTTCAAGAGCAGTGAGGAAATTTTTGAAAAGCTTGAAAAATGATGACTTTATTTTAAATGGTGAATTAGCACAGTTTTGTTCTCACTATAAGTCTCTTTTCAAACATGCTAAAAATTGTTGGAGTCGACCATTTTGTAGAGCAGACACTTCTCTACAAAATATGATATTCAACTAAACTGTAGCTTTTATCCAACTGTAGTTACAATCATTCTGTCAAGATCTCTTTTTCAACGTAAAACAATTATAATGAAAAAGTAGATTTTTGAAAAATAAGTATTTAGGAAAAAAGAAAAATTGAAGTGTTTTATCGAAAGACAAAAACAAAAAAGTTTAAATAGTACATTTTGTAGAGAAACTTCTAATCTACAAGTTGATGTATAAATAAAGATTCTAACTTTGAATTTCGAATTGTAATAATGAAAATACAAAAGTATGCAAAAAAAACTTTTTCTATCCAAACTAAGTTTTTTGAACTTGTCAAAGATTATTTCACAAAAAAACTGGAACAAAATTTCTGAGTTCATATTTTCGAAAAGAGCATATAAAATTCTACTTCTGACTTGTCGGAAATATTTTCTTGCTGATCAAAAATAAACAGACATATGTCGGAACACTTTTCGATCATCCATTAGTTATTAGAAAACTTTTACAGTCTTAATTTTACTTACCATTGACTAGGAATAGATGAGTTTTGAGGATTCGGAGCACTACTATTAGCTGTTGTTGGTGTATACCAAAGATAATCTTTAATTGAATAAGTAGGACCATCAGTAAAAGCCATACGTGATTCAATAATTTGATAATCATCATTACGTCGTTGTGTTTGTCCATCACCCGATGCAAAATGTGAATTAACAAAACATATATCAGTTTCATAAAAACGAAACCGAATACCAACTCCACCTTTATTACCAGCAATACCCATAAAACCAGTTGGAACTGATGAACGAGATATTAATGTACATTTTGATATATGAGTTGAACGTACATAAACAAATAATAATATACCTAAAAATAAATCAATAAATTTCAATGAAAAAAATCAATTGATATTATGGTTTTTCGAAATTTATGAACAGACAATACTATTGAAATTACTTCTATGAAGATATTTGATTTCTTTTATGTCAAAGTATCTAAAAGTGAGTCTCGATAGAGTTATTTGTATATTACTTATTTGTGCTGTGTACAGATCAATATCTATCACATATTCATACAGGGTGTCCCAAAAGTCCGTCGGAAAAGTTAATTCAAATATCTCTTATACAACTCAAGCAATTTAATTGATTTTTTTATAATGTGTTAGTATGTTCTTTAAAGTTTTATTTCACATAATTTAGTTTGCAACAAATATTCAAAATGATTACCATGAAGTATAATACCTAAATCCATCGTTTTTGAAATCTCTAAAAAAAATTGCAGAAAGTTTATTTTCGAGCTAATTTCGTTTCGTTATCGGTTCTTATTTTGAATTCAACCAAATCTTTATATATATATCTTATGTATATAGGTCTCTACTTTATATTTGTTAATAAACCATTCAAATGAAAAGAGACTTTGTATGAAAAAAAAGAGCTCTTCTGATTGTGGATATTTTGTAATTTGCGTATCAAAGTGATATAATTTCAACTCGATCTTATGAATCTTCTCTATGACATGATAGGAGAAATTACACTCTATATGGATTCATTAGATGATATTCAGTGATAATTCGTCCTGATATTGTCCATGGAATGAAGTAGGCTGTTGCAACAACCCGAACACTTGATAGTGGCACATTTTCACAATTATCATAAACTTTGCTGATTTTCTCTTTTGTAGTTTTTGAAGGTCTTTCAAATTGTTGTCTGTTTACTACTATACTCATTTCGCAAAGGCCTTGAAAAGCGGCAATAGCACAGTCCATGTGTAGCGTTTTTATGTCAAATTCGACTTGCATTTTTCCTTTCACAATGATAGGTAACTCAAATTTGGGCATTAATAGAACTATTCTAATTCTAATAGTTATAGGCACAGACATTTATCCAAAAATATACAGAACAAAACTTTAAAGAACATACTAACATACTATAAAAAAATCGATTAAATTGCTTGAGTCGTATAAGAGATATTTGAATTAACTTTTCCAACGGACTTTTGGGACACCCTGTATATTGAACTCGACTAATGATAATAATCAGCACTTGCTATTTGACTGTTTCATGAGTGCGACTAAACTATTTAGAAATTCTAATGAACAGTGTTTTATCCAGGTCTTTTCCTCCGGAGGGACGATTTGAAATTCCGAGAGGGCGAAAAATTTTTTTCAGGTGGGCAAGCCATATAGTTCGTCGCGCGATGATCGCGAACTCGATTTTCGGAGGGGAGGGGCCTCCCAGCGCCCCTCTGGATAAAACACTGCTAATGAAAGTATTCTCGAGGAAAGATTTTGAGCCTATTTCTTGATATTCGATACATTTCTATTAGAAAATTATGGTTTTAGTGAAAATTAATGTGATATTCAGAATTAGCAATTTAAATTGAGTAGAATTTCATGTGTTTGAAATATTTTTGTAAACTATTTTACAGTTTTCGTTAAATTCATTTTTGGATCTAATCCTCAAAGAGCCAAAGATTTATTATCAAAATCTACTGAATATCAAGAAAATATATTTAAAATCTTCTCTTAGAAATAATGACATTAGAATTTCTAAAATAGTTTTATTCGTACTCATGAAATGGACAAATAAACGAGTACTAATTGTCATCATTAAGTGAATTTAGTATAAATTCATGTGATAGTCATTGTCTATTTCAATTGACCTGTGTACAACATACATAATTACTAAATAATTAATTCTACTAGAATTTACTTAAGATCATCTTGTATTATACATTGACATAGGAGAAATTAAATTTTTCAAAGTGACAAGTGTTAACAATTATTGACCATTCAATTCTTTTGAAAAATTTCATATTATTCTTACCCATTAATCTAACACGATTAAGTAATTCAAATTTAATATTTTCTTCATTATTTTTTTCATAACATAATTTAATTGTTTGTCGTACAATTTGTTCCCATTCATCTTCTTTTTTTTTATCATCATATATATATGCACCACCACTTGTATCAATTTCTTGAAAACCAACAGCAATTATATCTGGAATATATATTTGTTGTTTATTTTCATTATTATTATCGTTTACTTGATAAAGCCATTCTTCAAGTAAAATATTTGATGGTGCTTGTCGATTATTAACATTAAATGTTCCAACAAGTACATAAAATTGTTTATAACATGTATATTCATCTTCACGTTCTTTTAAACGTATTTCTAAACGTTTTGATGAATTTGACATGAATAAAATATACTAATCATCTAAAAATCTATTTTTTTCTTCGAAAAAAAAAAAAAAACAAAATACAAAAATTATTTTTCGATTGTCTCTCTCTCTTTTTTTTTGTTTTTATTTATTTTGTTTTCTTCATATAAGATACAGTTATAGAGAACAAAAAAAGAAAAAGAAAGCATGATTATAAATTTATACACAAAAGTGACTAGTTTATTTTTGTTATTTTAAAATGAAGTTTCTATGAGATGATGAAGAAACACCATTAGTTTGTTTAAATGAATAATGATATGAACGTTGATGAATATTATTATTTGTATCATTATTTAATAAAGAATGTTTATTATTAGAATAATAACTAAAAAGAAAGAAAAGAAAAACTAAAGATTATATTTTCAAATATATAAATGATATTTACTTATCATCACGTGATGAAGAACGTGATCGTCGTTTTTTATCTTTTTTTCGATGACTATTATGATGTCGTTTGTCTTTTTGATGTTTGTGTCTTTTACGTGATGATGATGATCTAAAATTTAAAAATATATTTTTGTTTTTATTTAGAAAAATAAATAAAATTTAATATAAATATTAACCGAGATCGTGAACGACTACGATGAGAAGTTTTCTTTTTCTTTTGAGAATGATGAATTGGAGAATGAGATAATGATCGTGATGATGATCTAAATAAAAGATAATATTTAATACAAAAATAAAATTCATAAGATAGATAGAAGTACGTTTAGTCTTATTCATAAACACTAGAAAGAGATCATCAACAAATCCTATGCAAAAACCAAGACATTCTCAAAAAAAAAACTTGTTTGCACCTTCTTCAAGGCATGATCAAAAAAGGGAAGGTTACCTTCCAGGAGGGTTCCGGAACTTCGCCAATAAGACTTCCGCCAATGGTGAAAGTCCAGGGGTGTATTGTCGAATGTCCAGGGGTATATTGTCGACAGTCCACATGACTTTCACCAATTTGCAAGAGTTCACAAAATGCTCAGGAAATAGTGAAATCCTCTGTTGGAGAATGTTTTAGATTATCGTCAGTACTGGCGAAAGTCATGTAGACTTTCGCCAATTGACGAATGCCCAGGGCGCAGTTATTTATCTACTGGATGGGCTGGGTGGGCGCCGTCCACCCGAAACTTTGATTCGCCCACTCGAAAACAGACAGCAGCCATTCGTCTACTGGCTGGGCCGAGTGGGCGCCGCCCACCCGAAATTTCGACTCGTCCACTCGGGAAACGAAACCTAGATAAAACACTGCCAGGGCGCATATTGACGAAACGTATGTGGACATTCGCCAACGGCGAAAGTCATTTTGGCGAAAGGGGTAACCCCCATTTCGCCAACCCCCCCCCCCCCCCTCTTTCTAGAATCGACTTTTTATATACGACATATGATTAAATTTTCAAATCTGCAAACTAAGACTTATAGATATGCAAATCTTATAGCGAACGATAACAACTACTAGACTTTTTTCTGAACAACAAACTTATTTGTTAGTTAAATTCAACATTACAAACAATAATTTTTAATAGTCTCAGAAGAATGACCTATGGCAATATAGAAACATTTTATTTGAAATGCAAATATTAGATTGTTTTTATCATGGTCAATCATTCTTAAAAGACAATGATTATCTGTTAGAAGTTTTTCATTTTTGTGGATTTTGTGTTAGCCTAATGAATACATGTGAGTTTTGAATTTTAGCACATTAATAAAAAGCTACTCGTTACTACGTCGAATGAAGAAAAAGTTTTATTTCTCACACTCTCGATTGTATATGTAACTCAAGAAAATCAACATTAAATAGGATTATATACGATTTGAATCTTATCGAATGATTTTTACCTGCTTTGAGAGCTACTTCGTTTTTTTCGATGATGATGACGATGATGATGATGTCGATGATTATTTACTAATGATGATTCACGTGAACTTTCACGATCATGTTTTTTAGTAATTTTTCCATTTGTAGCTACCATTGTATTGGTTACTTCATCTGTAGTTGTTGTAATTACAGAAGGTACTAACGAAAAAAAAAAAATTGAAATTTATAATTTTATTTTTTTTGTTTACTTTCTGGTTGTATAATAGTCGGTGTTGAAAAAGAAATTACTGTTGATGGTATAGAATTTTGTATTGTTAATTGTTGAGCTGGTGAATCACTACCTAATTCAGGTCGTAATTTTTTTCTTTCATCTTCTCGTTTTTCACGAAATGAATTAATAATTTTTTCGAGTTCATCAAGTGATTTCTAAAAAAGTTAAAAATTTAAATAGAAAATTATTTTCTTTTTTCTATTACTGGTCGATGTTTATATAAACGAAGAATAGCAATCATAATATAATGAATTTCTTCTGGTTGTGCACCAAATATAAGATACCATGGTGGATTTTTTGGTAAAGAAATCTATGTAATTTAAAAAAGAAAATTAATTAAAGATAGAAAATTTTAATTTATATATTTTACTTGAAGAGTTCGTGCTGCTAAATCAATACATGCACAAGCAATTGTTTCAGGTGTAAAACGTAGAAAAATATCCGTACGTAAACTATCATTCATATAATTCCTAAAATGAACAAAATCAAATCATAAGTTTCGACTTTTTTTTGTTTTTTTTTAATTTATCTATCAATTAATAAAATGAATCTATTCTATCAAGTATCGGTATTTCGGTAATTAGAAAATAAAAATATGTTCTCAAAATATAAATTTTAAATAGGAAATCGTTTGTTATGTTTGAAATGAACAAAGCTGAAAGAAAAGATTTTTTTTTTTTTTGTTTTCTATAAACTAATTTATAGAATATTTATTATTAAATTTTAATATTTTGAGATTAACAAAACCGAACACTGATTTAGATATTTACAAATTTTATGATGTATTATTTTTTCAAGAATTAAATAAAGTTTCATATTATGTTGAGATTTCACAACAAAAAAAATGATTAAAATTTTTAGAAGCTCGAATAATCATATAATAGTATAGATCAAAAGTTTTTAGAAATATTGAAAAATTATATAATTTTGAGAAGTACAGAATATTTTGCAATAGAAATTTTTTTTTTTGGAATTCTAAATACTACTAATTTTGCTACAAAATACTACTAATATACCCAACAAAGCATTCAATTAAGAAACAATGTGAGATTTTTTATTGGATTAGCACAAAAAATGTACAAACATGTGACACACACAAGAGCCAAATATGAAGTGAAAAATTGTGTAGAAAAAAAACAAAGATGAATTACCAAACTTCTAAAACAAAATGAAAATTATTGAAAGAAGGAATATCATTCGCTATGGTAAGAAAATTTGTAATTCTTTTCTACATAATTAGAATTGTTTTGATGAACCCTATACTAGTTGTTATACGTTTTATTTAATTTTATATAGAAAAGACAGTACTCGGAATTTCAGTCAGAGAAACTGAATCGTAATATCAGACCAACAATAGTAACAATTTTTACAAATACCCCCAGGAAAAGCTTGGCCCTCCTGTGGCGTCGGCATTAGATTAAAGAATAAAAACTAGCACGAAAGTTTCTCGCTGATTAAATACACTTTCAACTATCATTCTTTTCACAGTCACTATTGAAACGTTTCTTTTTTCTTTTTGTTTTCATTTCCTAATAGCTTAGAAAAACGTATTTCAATTAAATCGATAATAATAAACCCTTAATATTCTCTAAACTGTATTATATGTTATAATTTCTAATAACAAACATAAATATTTTGTTATTTAAAAAAAAAAATCTTTCTTTTTTTCCAGCTTTGTTCATTTTTCTAAAAAAATAAAAATACAAAGAGAGAGAAAAAGCAAAAAAAGAAAAACCTCTAAAATATAATTTAAATCAAACATAACAAACAAATCATCTTTGATAAAAACTAGAAAATAGAGAGAACATATTTTATATAAAGAATTTTTTTTTTTTTTTACAAAAAAAATAATATTATACCGACCGATACTTGATCATATCCAAAATTATAGTCGAGTGTTGATTAAAACGACCCGACGTTGTAAATGTGTATATATTCCGGTTGAATAAAACGGTTATATACGATATAATTCCATTAAATCCTGGACGAAAGACAAGAAATAAGTTAATTTAAAAAAGTTTAAATTTAAATATAAGAAAGAAAGAGGGAAAAATACGATGAAACATCCATCAATAAATTTTCTCCATACTTCCTTTTTCTTTTTTTTTTTTTCTTCTGAAAAGACAAAACTCCAATTCATAATCAACTATTTTAACTAACAAATAAAAAAAAACAAAAACAAATAAAAAAAAACCATCTTCAATCGACTCATTCTTGCTATTTTAAATAATCTTATTGGTTTTTTTTAATTTCTTAACGGTAAGGATAGAAATAAAATAAAAAATATTTACCAAGATGTTTGAACCAAATCATTTTCACGTTCTTTTTCAAGAACTTTCAAATACATTGTAATCATCTATAAAAATTAAAAAAGAAATTAAAATAGTTAAATCTTATTATAAATATTACTTTATGTGGATGTTTAACATAAACACAAAAACCAAGTTCTTTTAATAAACGTCGTTCAGCTTTAATAACTTCATTTTTTTTATCAATATAACCTTGATCAATTAATAATGGATGAATCATACTAAAACAAAAAAAGAATTCTTCTTTTATAAAAAAAATATTTTTATTTAATTGGAAATAAATATTTACCTTCCAGATCGAACTTGTTTTATATGATGAAATACATTAATAACATCTCGAATACGTCGAGCATTTTCTTCAATTTTAGCTGCTAGATTTGTACAAGCCATAGCAACTATTTCCATTTGACGACGAATAAATGATGAAGAATAAAAATAACGATGAAATAAAACTTGACCAGTTGCTACTGCTGTCTAAAGAAAACAAAAAAAAATAGAACATAAAATAAAATTATTATTATTATTATAAATTACTTGTGGTAATTTCAATAATAATGATGCTGTTTGTATAAGTTCACAACCGGTTAATCTTAAATCATATTCAACATCCCATGGTAAACCTTCAATTGTTGATGGTGTTGGATTAGGATAAAGTTTTTCTGATGGTAATAAAACATTACTTAGTGTCAAAACGATACGTCCATATTCTGACATTTTTTTTTTAATGAAATAATATGAAATGAATCAATCTATCTTTGTTATTTATTTATTTTTTCACTCACTGACATATTGGAATATTTATTTAGAGATGTCGCTCTTTTTGTTTTTGTTATAATAAACTTTCTGCATTAATGTGTAAATTTAATAAATTATATGAATAATAATATTTTCATTTATTGGTACGTACCCACACGACACAGCGAAGTGCATCATCAATAGCGGAAAATGCACTTTGAGATGGCGCCACAAATCTTGACACTTTTTGAAGAATTTTTAATATGGCATTTTGAACTTATAAAATAATATAATAATTTTAGTAATATCAATTTTATAGGCCTCTGTTCTGTTTCAGAGATCACCACTGATTGGTCGCTAACTACGCATAGAACTTAGTACTAACGTGAAGATCCTTTCAGCCAATCATGTTAAAAAAATTACTAACGACACCTAGCGGAGCTTTTGAATGCCTCTTTTTTTTATAGAAAACCAAAATTAACATATGATAGAGAAAAATTTGCTCTATCTACTGATACCTAAGTGATATTTGGCCGTCCTCAAAATCGGAAAACACCAATCATGTTGGACTCGCTATTGTTTCTCGTATATTTCACTATGCTCTTCGCCGTATGGTCTAGCAAATAAATGACAGTTTTATTTGCGTTAATTTAAAATCTATGCATATTGTAAGAACAAAAGTTTAATGCTAACGACATTAGACTCCCGATTTTTAATATATTGAAATATTAACTTTGATCATTTACAAAATGAAATCAGGTGAAAATTTTGTTTTTTTTTTCTTATGTAAAAAGAATGTTTGTCCTACTTGATAATGCCGATTATTCTGCGCCTCAATAAAAAATCAAATTTATGTGAATTTATTGAGTTTTTTTATTCTATCGGCTAGAATATATTTTGATTTGAAAAGCGGAATTCAAGATTATTAAGCTTTTTTCCTTGAATCTATTATCAATCGAACATTTGTTTTTGTTTTCTTTCTAGTTCGAAATCATGCAAGAACAAATATCAATATAAATCGACAAAGATTAACAATAAAAATTTGTTTTAATCTAAAAGATACGACTTATATACAAAAAAAGATAAATATAATCTTGTAAAATCAATACTAATAAGAATAAAATATATCATTCATAATTAAATTTAATCTAGTCCATCGTGACCTACATGATTGATCAATAAAATAAAATGATCCTGTTTTGCTTAGACATTTTTTATAAATTAAAAATAAAGTATTTCATCAAATTAAGATTATTTTTTTAATTAAATACTGAAATAAAACAAAAAAAAATTATTTGAAATTTAAAGAAACATGCTCATGTTTTACTTTTTTTCCCACTTTAAAAAGTACTTCACAAGCACTTATAAAAATAAAGTATTACGCTCATTCAAGTTAATTACTGTAGCGTTTTGCATACAATATATGTAAATAAGAAAAACTATTTTCAATCAAATGGATAACTTTTCTTTTTTTTTCATGTAGAAGACTTGTGAAGAATATTTAATATACATTCATATCTATATAAATGACTTTTAATTCAACTATGTTGAGAAAAAAAAACGAGAAATTTAGAAAGATAAGGTTTGTTTCCATCTTTCAGCACTTTGAGAATGTAAAATATAGCATATAAATTATTTTAGCAAGGGAATATCTATCTATGTAAGACTTATTAGGGTTGAAGAAATTTTTCGTGGTTGTTTCGCAAACTAATATCATATTTTTTGGTTAGTTTTTATAGTGATTTCTCAGATTACTCTAGTATAGTCTAACGAGGGAACATTCCCATTTGTCACATTGTTTTTGAGTCGAGCGTATTCACATCATGTAGGCTCTAATGATCTATAAATACTCTGAAAAAAGTTCGTGCTGCTAGCTTATGACTACCGAGATATTGCATTTTTACTGTATGTTTAAGAAATAAAGCCGTGGTTCCCCTCAAGAACACTAGAAAAACTGAATTTCGAATTTCAACTTGAAACTTTGCATAGAGATAGCCCAGGTCGAATTCACCCTGTCGAATCCGATAGAAATTCGCCGGAAT